TTCAATATTTTTTCCATTTATTATGATGTTACCTATTTGGAAAATTGTGACGGTTTTTGTCTTCTTTCTATGATTTTTCCTCCCACCTCAACATCGCCTGTACACATTCAGAAGCTCTTCCTCAAAATACAAGATCAATGATTACTCCCTGATAGACTTTTCAATTGAATAAAACATTCAGAAATGTTAAGTTATTTTGTGTATAGTTCTCTCACACACAAAAAAGGTCAGTCGTAGAATTGTACAGTAAAAAATGTCTTTTCCTTCATTCTTGGTAGCAGTTTTCATTTCGCTTTGAGCTTTGGAAAGATTATCTATTTTGTCTAAAGGTGTGGGTGGTAGGGGATTTCCTTTGTGGTGAAGGAGTTGGTTCAAATGTATGTTTTGTTTTAGCATAGCACAGAAGAGGAAATGTGGCATATTCCGAGACAGGCAGTTTACAGCAAGACAACTTAGAGTGTCTGCTTCAGTGAGTTCAGATGGCTAACTCTGCTTGATAACTAACAGTTGTTAAGTGCCAGCAAGTCAATTCTGACGCACAGTGGTTCTGTGTACATCGGAATGAAACACTGTCCCGTCCTGCGCCATCCTCACAACTGTTGTTATGTTTGAGAGTGTTGTTCCTGCCCCTATGCCCATTGAGGCACTTCTGTTATCCCAGGCAGGATGTAACAATCTGGTGAATAACCCATATTCAGCGAGGACTTACCCTGGCATAGGGTTCATTGTATCCACACCATCTTCACTTGCTTTTCTCTCTTTTTCAACAGATGCACCAGGCAGTGGCTCGGTCTCCAGCCGCCTTTTCTTTTCTCTTTCTAGGACGTCATGCAGTCTGATGACTTGCCCGGGTAGCAGTGACACATGCTGCGGAACTGACAGCTGAAACCATGAAAAGGACAGTCAGCCAGTAAGGAGCAAAGCCATTAGCTGAGGTGAGCGCAGGTTGGCCTGACCAGGACCGAGATGAATGGGAAGCATCACTAATGGAAGTTCTTAGTCTGGGGTAAGAGTCTTAGAACTACCACAAAACCAACTAAAACCCGAAGAGAAAATGTTTCTCTTCTTTTTTCCCCAAAGCAGAGTACCCCATCTCTTGCTGATAGTCTCACTTGCCACTGAATCAATTCCAGCCCATGGTGACTTCTATGTGCCCGAGCAGAACAGCTCAAGGGCTTTGACGATGCCTCCGCGGCAGATCACTAGACCTGTCATGTAAGGTGCCTCTGGATGAGTTTGAACTGCCAAACCCTCAACTAGCAGTGGAGTGCTTAATCATTTGTATCACCTAGACTCATAATGCAAGAGCTAATCCTTATTGATTGCCTATTATGTCCCTAGCATTTTAAAAAATGTATTATTAGTTGGGAGTTAATACATCATCATTCCACAGTTAAATCACATCAAGCAGAATTGTACAATTATTACCACGGTCAGTTTCCAAACATTCTTTTTCTTCTTGGACTCCTTGCCACTGTTGCACTTTTACACACACACCCCCAGCCCCCTGCCAAACTGTATCCCCACCCCCACCCCCAAACCTGTCCCTATTGGTTCCTCAATCCTGGGTTTCATATACTGGAACACATGAAAACATATAACACAACTTCAAGAGTGTGATCCACAATGACTTATACCTCTAAGATGCACCCTAACATGGACAAACAAAACAAAACATACAGAAAATGTTGAAAACCAGATCAAATCCATCATGCTTCAGAGAGGGGGTCAACTGGCGAAGTTCTAACTGTTCAAGTCAGATTGATGCCCTTGATCTTCTGTCCTCATCTCCCCAAAGCACTCTGTTTGGTGGCCACTTTCCCCCATCCCCAGTATTCTAAATGCATTATTGCCATTCCTTCCACAAGATAGGTTGTAGCTACTTGACAACAACAACAAAAAGGAAGTCTCTTAAGTATTAAAGAAAAAGTAGTATGGAGTCACATACTTAGTAAGTTGTAAAACCGAGTCTCAAACATAAGTCTGTGCAGCTCAAAAGTGAAGTCTCACTTCTTTCAACTACAATATAAGCTTCTCAAACTTTTCCACCAAAATTCTAACAGTAGTACAGTATCGATGAACACACTGACGGATGTGGGATCACGCCAAAAACAACACTCTAGGCAACTTACCTTCTCTTAAAAACTCATATAGATTTTATTTTCTATATGAATATACAGGCATTCCTCGGATTATAAACTTCTGACTTATATACAACTCCTTATGTAAATTTGCCTTCACTTTGTAAAGATTGATCAAACCTCACTAGCAACAAATGCTTCTTCATAAGCACCTTCACTTGCTGCAATTGCAGCTGTTAAGTCATTGGAAAGGCTTTGAGCTTATGTTGTATTAGAATAAGACTACATAAAGACTATATGCATGTGTTTTGACTTTCTATAAATTCTGAAAGATACAGGAATGTATCTAGTCTGCAACCCATGGGCTGACTCGATCCATATGTATTTTAATGTAAGATAATGCGCATATTCTTACCTCAAGGGAAAAAATGAGAAAGAAAATTTGGGCTAAAATATGTATAATTAATACTGTATATACTTGAGTATAATCCAATCCAAATATCTGCTGAGGCACCTAATTTTACCACAAAAACTGCATTGAAAATTTGCTGAAAAACTGCTTATACTCAAGTATATATGATACTCCAATAAAGTATATCATGTTTTAGTTGTAGCTTTGTGAAATGCAGTGAATTATTTAACATGGCTCTTCTAGACATGGCCTTTGTTGTTCCCACATGGAAGAACCACACTAACATGTGTGATGATGAGATGTTGATGGGAAAAGGTACCAGAAGTTCAAAAACAAGCAACCAAATCATTGAGAAAGGGTGTGAATGTAGTGAAGACTCAAAAACCATTTGAAAAAAAATTGGACAGTCCCTTCAGCAGGGCCACACAGAAAGGATGATAAATCCAGGGTGCAGTATAGCACCGATGAACCACATAACTATCCTTTTACTTCTTGAATATTTCCTCCCCTTACTATTATGTTTTTTATTTGTTTTACCTTATTTATCATGTTATATTTGTGTAGGTTCATTTATCTATTTCAGATCATTTGACACATGAAAACCAGAATAGATAGACCTTCAGAAACAGTAGCAGGAGTAATGGTTCCCTGATGGTACAGGAAGACGGGGTGGGGGTGGGGTGGGGATAGAGAGTTGATAACACTGATGACTGCATGATACCAATTGATGGAACTGAACAATAGAATTGTATGTGAATGGATATATTGAATTGTGTAAGATAGGGCAAAAAGAAAAAGGGTTCCTGTGGGATGGC